ATAGTCCCCGGTACCCATTGTATATGAGGCGTGGTGGGCCCCAGAGCCGGCCTGAACGCTGTGGAGTACAGAAAAATATCTTGCCCCAGCTGGGAATCGAACTTCGGCAGTCCAGCTCGTAACCCGTCGCATTACGTGAAGTGAGATTGGCAATAAAATAGGAGATACTTAAGAACTGAGCAGACACAGGTCAGGTGCACTAGGTATTCGATGTTAATCTTTTTCTTTGTTCCGTCATGTAATAAAACTTGATTTTCCACATTACTTTGTAAGAAAAATTATGAAAGAAAGAAGGGCCCTTCAAATATAAGTATTCTTTTAATTAAAGTAAAAGTATGTTGTTTGATGTTCTAAGTGACATTCGTCGGAACATTTTTTAAATGTTTCAGTCCGTTTCAATTAAGGTCATATTTACATTCTCGGAGTCAGCTTACATATGAATGTTCTCCATTTGGCTGAAAATAAAACCTACAGCGTTGTAATCACCTGTTCCGGCTATACCCATATCAATTGCTTACTTGGAGAAATATGCCGAAAGAAGGCAGATGCCTTACTTGAGTCTCCGATTAAGGTCGCTGGTTCCATATGTAAGTTTCTTCCGTTCCAGTCTGCATATTTACATTGTATCATGTTTTAGGCGTTTGTCAGAACCAAATGACTGTAATTTTGAGGTCGGTCTGCGAAAATAACAATACTGATAGTGCCACTTTTGTTGCAGACATTTGCTTTCCCTTGAATCAGTCTAGACAGGTTGGTCTGGTGGTGACTCTCAAGAATTGGAGGCCCATATTTCGNCGACTGCAATTTTGAGGTCGGTCTGCGACAATAATCCTCACCATTACACTACTAATAGTGCCACTTTTGTTGCAGACATTTCCTTTCCCTTGAATCAGTCTAGAGAGGTTGGTCTGGTGGTGACTCTCAAGAATTGGAGGCCCATATTTCTGAAGGTACCCTGCGTTTAGCGAGGACATTGAGGCGTTTTATGCAGTTTCTGTTCCCCGCAACTACCTGTATAGCATCTTCAAGCACATTACGATGAATCTCCTATAGTCCCGTCACATTAGACGCTGCGTAACATACAACAGCTTTCATGAGTAACGTAATCGTAAGGCGTCTTGCACCAGATTTTATTTGTAGTCATGTTTATGATTGATTCTATGTTGAATCATTCATGTCAGTAGAATTTTTCTTGTGAGTCGACCGCTTCCATATCATTACCCTAACCGTACATCCCTCGACACTTCCCTGAAATCTCCTTTCTCTCGCAATGCTCTTAGTAAAACCTACAGAGTCCCTAAAGGTTTCCCTTCCCTGAAACTCATAACCTGGATCAAATGGAGGCGAAAAAATTTAGATATAAATGCATAATACGAAGCTTCATAATCCCTACTCATCTTCTTCATTCTTAGGGTGATGAAATCTAGGAACGTGCCGGATGCGTAGCACTCATGGGAGTGGTTTAGAAATGTATACATTTTAATCGGTAAACTTTTAGGGAAGAGGGCATGTGGGAGGCCTGTGTGCATGAGGAGGGGCAGGGGTGTTTCCTAAAGAAATAGCTTGTGACGATGTGGGCCAGACTCAACTCACAGAGGACACTCTGGCTCTTGGGAACACCATAACCAGAAATTGTCGGAGTTGTTTCCTCCGAAACTTTGGTTCCTGTCAACCAGACTACTCTATGTCACATCACATAACACCGTAATCTTAACGATAATGAACCTTCGGGTTCCATGAAAGGCGAGGAATTTCTTAAACTGTTCGCTTCTCAAGAAGAACTGAGCATGAAGTTACGTTATGTAGTCAAGGATCATAAATTTCGTGATCGCTTTACTTTTCGATAGCTTTAGCTTTTGTCCTTATTGTTTTCCTATAGCTGGATTTTCTTTCTCATGTGACAGTGCCCAAAAGTAATTATTGCGGTGGGTCTATAACAAATTAATTTAGGAGACTAAACACGATCAAGAAGATACTTTTTCTTCTGTTTCTGTACATTTTAATTTCTTCATTTCTGCAATCCTTACGTATCTCTTCCATACATTCTGGCGTCCCCCGTTCCGGGTCCGTTCTGAGGAACTCTGTCCTCATGTATAAAATCCGTTGTTTCAAATTATATTACGTTACTCTCCGTGGACCCTGATTATTTAATCGATATGTTTCTCCCAAGACGTGAGGTACACACACCACACCGAACAAAAGGCCGAGGTTCGGATTGGATGATTGAATTTATTGACACCTTATTCACACACCTCGGAACTACAGGAAATACTCGTATAGCGCTATCGTTGATGAGTTCACCATTGCGCATCCCCTAGGATTCTCAGTCTTCACTAGTCCTATCCTGGCAACGGATTTATCACTATCTCGCTGTAATTTCAAACCACACGTGATGTCTTCGTTTCTTGCCATTTCTTTACAGTCACCTTAGACTGACATCTCCTGAACTCGACCCAATTCTTGAGAACTGACTCAGATTAATTCTTCAACTGAACTCTCTCAACTTCTGACAACTAATTCAAACTACCTTCTTTGTCCCTTTATAACCACTCGGCACGGTCCACGCAGAAAACACAGCCTCTCTATTATTGAGAAGGCTTGTTTACTAATCCGTTGTTTAGCAATAGACGTCCTATTATTGCGCGTGTTTGCTTCCGCGGGAATGTGTTTACCATGTCGTTGCCTAGGAATGTGTATACACGTCACAATACATTCCTTATTTTGCGGAAATTTATTTATGTATTTTTCATTAACAGTGATTTAATTTGCTAAGATTATGTTTGGTGGTTAATGAGTAATGAATTTGAAAAAAAAAATGTGGAAGAAGTGGTCGAGGTAAAATGTAAGATACTATCCCAGAATATTTCTACAGGAATTGAGGAAACTCCGTCCGTCAGAATAATCGGTCTCCGGCCGAGATTTGGACCCAGAACCTCCCGAAAGTGAAACAGGATTGTTAACCACTCGACACCGAAGTTCAGTTCTTTGTGCACTCTTTAGTGAATGAGAACGTCATGAGAAAACCTCAGAGCCAGCCATTTTGACTTATCCCTCTGTTGACAGTGTTATCTTTCTTGGCGGTTGTATTTGAAATAAAGAACTGTAAGCATGGCCCTGTTTTATAACATCGTAAAAGAAACGAGATGAACTATTTAAACTTTCATATTCCATCCATGTCACTCACTCTGCGGCATTTGCCAGACAGGAAAAGAAATGTTTAGACGCTTAAGGCAGTTTTGTGCTAGAAGGGAATGGTTTCATTTTAAGAGAAAGTTAAATTAAATATTATGCCATTCTCCTTCATAACGAACCCAAAGTTTTAATCTTAAATAAATAATTTGAGTGAATATTAACGTTTACTTCTACGTGTGTACAGTACTGATGAATGTACCATGCAATCTTTACTTACCATATTGAATATTTCAGCCCCAAGGAGGATATGGGCCCCGTTTATTTCTTATTTATGGACAATTTTGAAAACTGAGGAGTCGTATTGCATCGAATAAGATATTTCAGAATGATTATGACGTGAGTAGGGAGCGCTATGCTACAAGCCCGAAGGTCGCAGTTTCGAATCCCGAGGTCATTGGATTTTTTCAGTTGACCTAATTCTTCCATCCGCACTGTGGCCCTGGAGTCGAATCAGCCTCTAACAAAATGAGTACCAGGAATCTTCCTAGGGGGTTGAGAGCGGCTGTTGCGTAAGGCTGACAACCCTACCGCCATCTGAGAGCCGACTGTCTAGAAAATGTGGGAGCCTCGACGTCTCACAATCCTATGGGCCTCCATGGCCTGTTACAGGGATGGCTTTACCATTTTACCTATGACATTAGGATAATGTGATAAAGACGCTGGCAGTAAGCGGTTCAGGCTTATTCTGAAATATCATCCCTAAATGTTCTAAACGAAATCGGGAAGACCTCTGGCCTTCCCACCGATATTAGAACTGGAGACGTCCTGAATATGAGACATGGGTGAATATCCGCGTTCTTTGCATTCTCCACTTAAGTGCTGGACAATAGGAATGATTCTGCCATGAAATTAAATTTTGCCTAAAAGCTATCTAATTTATTTTTAAGCGTTGCTTTATCGCTCTTAATGAAGGGTAGGATATGCCACATGTAGCATGGAGAAAGAAGTCGGTATTCCGTTTACATTGGGAGGAAGGCACTGTAACAGACGGGAGAATATTATTGAAATTAATCTATAAGAAGTAGCTTGGGTAAGTGTGAATTAGATTTAACTAGCGCAGAACAAGATCCAACGATGGTCTCTTATGTTTCATGACTGATAACTTTCGGTTTCGATAACACATTTTCAAACAACTGACTGTCAGCAACTCCATATACAAGTAGTAAGTAGATACCGAAAAGTAGCTGGGGTTACTCTGTAAATTGTCTCTGCTAGTTTCCAACTACAGTTCTAGCACAGTCTGCAGTTAAGCTTTACAATACTATAATGGGGAAAAGCAAAATAGTGTAAATAAAATCGTTTTGTTTATATTAAATTACAAAAAAGTAAGTCACGTGGTTAAAAATTGTCCTGTGCTGTGAATTACCGATCCCTTCAGAGTCATCAAGTGTCAGTTATTGGTACTATTATGTATTGTTTTATGCTAACACAAGGCCACGATTTAGAACTGATATTATTTATCGAAGATTTAAGGTAACTCATTTAGGTGGGTGGCTTTTCAGTCCTGTCATAAGAATAAGACAGTGTTTATGGTGTTTGAGAACGGCGACACATGTACATATATGTATATGCTTCCCTGGCAGTCCACACTCCTGTTTCCTGAGCCCGTGAGTCTGTAACGTCCAGCGCAGAGTCACTAGCTCTTATTGCACTAATCTGAACTTTCCATCCCGCTGTAGTGCAGTGTTGGAGGTACCAGCGCAGCTAGTGTTTCTGTTTATTGTGCCTGCTTGTCTGTGTGATGGGTATCTAACGGCTGAATGGAGGTGGTAGAAGAGGAGACATAACCTTGTGTGTCACCCGCACAGGGATCGGGGGGAAGAGGCGGGGGTGAGCAGCGACACGGAGCAGAAGGTTTCCTGTTCCTCTTCTTCCTCAACATCACCACTGCACAGGCCGAGTGGCCCCTGTCTGGCACCCGTGCAGCGGCGTCGCCTGCGGACCCCAGTCTGGGCCAGGTCACTCTTATTACCCACGACCCCACTTCACCTGTACACGCGGTTTCAAAATCTTGAGTCTTACAACAGCTGAAACATTACAACGTGCATCGTCACATTCGTACATTTTGGTAACACATCACAGTTTGCCTTAGCATTTCCTGCAGTGGACTGAACTTCATAGGCAATACCGACTTTACAAATTCATAATTTATATAAAAAATTAAATCATGTAACGCACCTACTGTGTGCCATACGTAGCCCTCAAAGAATGTAACACAAGCTTTTGGTTTGTAGGGGCGCAGGTATATGATGAATTCAGATTGATGCAGGATGATAATCTGAGAGGATTCCACTTTCTGGAAGACAAGTATTGGACATCATAGCCGTGTATTGCTATTGGAATTAGAAACCATTACAACTGAATAATTCTCCATATACTTCAGCTGCGTAAAGTACGTCTTAGTCAGAGTATTTTGGTGGCCTAGTAAACGATTGTAAGAAAATCGTGGATGATGTTTGGTACACCGTCTTTCCTAAAGACAAATATGGTTGCTCGTGTTAATGAACAAGATTTTTGTCGTGACATATACATCTGCATAAGCTTAACAGTCAGAAGCAGTTTACACGAACTCCAGTTTGTATGAAATTACAAATAAAATATGCCCCTATATTTACAAATAAAAATCTATTTTGAGAAACGTTTTGGATACTGTTCTTTCCCTTAGAGAAGCCAAAATATGGTTTCAGTTCTTTTACTTCTCCCTAGCCACAGGCATGCGCGACAGAGAGTAGGGTAACACACCGAATTCAGGCTGCAGTAACGGATGGAGTGGACATGGACTGGGTTTGTTTGGAAATATTGACCTTTAATTGCCATGAAATACTCATATCACGCGGGAATTTTTCCTCTCCCTTTTGGTATCGCACAATTTTACCTTGTGGTCTACTTGGTGCGCACATTGCACTAAAATGAAATATTTTTAGGCCGCTGAAGCTTGTATTACGATGGAAAACTTCTCGACCACTTGTATCCGCACCTAATATCAAAACTTATGAGTAACTCACATATCCCCGAGAGATAAATTTGCTACAATAGACTGTGTCGCATTTCCTGCGCAGTCAAAACCTCTGACTGCGAGAAATCAGGACTGTAGGAAGATGCATTTATATAAGCGTGTATTGGAAAAGATTATGGGTCACATTGGACAATAGAAGAGAGTATTCATCTGACAGTGTAATATCTTCCGTGGCTCACAGTGACGCATGTGCTGTAAACACAAATAAAATGATGTCAATATTCTGAATAGTCAGCAGTCAATTCCGCCGAAATTCTGTCCATGTCTGTAATAAGGGGACTTGTTTTGATCTGTCCACATTATTTATGTAGCATCCCCCCCCCCCTGGCACTACAGCCCCAGTGGGCCTAGGCCTACCTCCATGAACTCCGTTCACTTCGGTTTTTCTAGATCTTACACATACGGTGTAGCATATTCACAACATAACATCCGTTTTTTTAGTGCAACGAACATTGTGTTAATTATCAAAGAGCGGAGCAAGTTCGTATTTCCTAGACTTTCAAATTTTTGCACATATGAAATCCCAAAACCAGTCAAACAGCTTGCTCTCGCTGTTAAGTGTAGGACAGCACAGTTCAAGGAGCGGTCTTGGGGGATTCCGGTCATAATTTTTACGGTAGATCTTCGTCAGGATAGCGTCTCTAATTATTATAATAATTAGGTCCTCAGTTAATTTGTAGATATATACATATATTTTTGTTCATGCATGGTTTCTGAAATAGTCTGCGTGTTGCTGGGGGTGGGGGGCACGCGGTTGAGGCACTATGCTAAATGCCTGAAGGTCGCGGGTTCAAGTCCCGAAGAGGTCATTGGATCTTTTTTCAGTTGACCTAATCCTTCCGGCCGCACTCAGCCTCTAATAGAAATGAGTACCAGGGATTAATTAAATGATTTTCCTGGGGAGTAAAGGCTGACAACCTTACCGCCATCTTTGAGCCGATTTTCTAGATAATGCGGGACTCTCAACGTCTCACAACCCTATGGGCCTTCACGGCCTGGTACAGGGATAGCTTTACTTTTTACGTTTACTTTTTACTGCGTGTTGCTGTAGTATTTTTTAATTAATAGATATTAATGTAATAAATGGAAATTAAAAATATAAATACGAGTAACACTGAATACATTTAAATTTATGGACTTAATCGGTATTTTGCAAATTATTAAAATTATCGATATCTTGAAGATTTTGAAATAAGATATTTCAGTACGTTGTTAATAAAATAGAGAAAGCCTCTCATCGTTCGGGGATTTGTCAGAAGGTCTGTACCCACCATGTAGAATCAGTTCGTAGTAGAACTGGTGCACGAAACAGTTTTTATTTCCAAATGAGCTGGAAAAATCCATAGCAGCCCTTTTATGCAGTCATTCCTCGTATATCTATAAAAACTTTACATTAAAATTTAAGTTCTTTTAGCAGAATAGAGTCAGCTTATACTGTAAGTGATGTTGGCGAGATTGTTCAAGTGTAACACCGACTTTATATAATACCTATTCAAGGGGAAATTGACCTTTTTGTAGCTTTCTCTTACCAGTAACAATGAAATCGATGCTCAGCTTGAACATTCTCCATATGACGACAATCGGAAGCATTTCAACAATCTTTTATAATCTGGAAGGCTTTGTAATACGTAATATGTACCTAATATATTGGTATTGGTTATTTCTTCCTTTTAAATTAAAATACTGCAATATAATAACTCGTTTGATAGAATGCATGACGTGTTTACCCACCGCAATTATAGTCACGTAACAGATATCATGGCCGTAAAATTTCTTGCACGAAAACATAATTATGCGATTCATCAACACAGTTTAAGTTTACAGATTATACTGTTTATACGCTTAGATTTTACTGCATGAGTATGATATTTATTAAAAAACTGCAGTTATCTGGGTGATAAGTCACTGTATATCTAAGCAGAGTGGAGAGTTCTGTCACTTCAGATGCATGTGATAAGAATTAGACGGAATTGTTTAGGAAGTGTACAATGTGATCCAGTCTTTTCATTTCCGTAATATTGCAATTCATACACAAGAACGCGCCCGTTTCTTTAATTGCATCTGTTTCCAATAAGAACGTGACAAATTAGGTCTGTGAGATTGTATAATAAACTTCAGTCCAGATATAGGTTTTCTTTGAATCTGAGCGTTCTGCGACTGTACGCCATGTTGTTTTTTTTTCCCCCTGTGAATTTCCAACGTGGTTTAAAGGGGAGGATCCTATTAGGAATACATGAATGTTCCACTCGGGATTACTGGATTTTAGGACTTGGTTCTTTGTCCGATAATCTAAAGAACATAACATTTCGGAAAGCGAATCTACTTCTGACCTCAGGAGATGGGGTGGGAGATACTTAACTCTCTTGGGTCGGTTAGATAGAGCTAACCTCAATCACTGGACAACCTATGTCAGTATAACTACAATTACACAGTTGTAGTTATACTGACATAGGTTGTCCAGTAATTGAGGTTAGCTCTGTCTAACGGATTCTACAGATTAGGTGCCCCAGCTGTATAACTGTAGTTACACCGATATACGTTGTCCAGTGATTGAGGTTAGGTCTTTCTAACGGACCCAACAGATTATGTCCCAACTGTATGACTGTAGTTACACTGACATACGTTGTCCAGTGATTGAGGTTAGCTCTGTCTAGCGGATTCAAGAGATTGTGTGCCCCAGTTGTGTAACTGTAGTTATACTGACATTACTTGTCCAATGGTTGAGGTTAGCTCTTTCTAACGGATCCAGCAAAGTAGGTCCCAGCTATAGTTACACTGACATACACGTATGTTGTCCAGTGATTGAGGTTAGGTGTTTCTAACGGGTCCAAGGAGGTAGGTGCCCCAGCTCTATTTACACTGACATATGTTGTCCAGTGATTGAGGTTAGGTGTTTCTAACGGGTCCAAGGAGGTAGTTGCCCCAGCTCTAGTTACACTGACATATGTTGTCCAGTGATTGAGGTTAGGTGTTTCTAACGGGTCCAAGGAGGTAGGTGCCCCAGCTCTAGTTACACTGATATATGTTGTCCAGTGATTGAGGTTAGGTGTTTCTAACGGGTCCAAGGAGGTAGGTGCCCCAGCTCTAGTTACACTAACATATGTTGTCCAGTGATCGAGGTTAGCTCTTTGTAACAGAGTAGATGTCTGCCACCCTCTCACCTGAGGACGGGAACAGATTCCTTTTCTGAAACATTGTGTTCTTTGGAATTCCGGAACATGGACGAAGTCCAGAAACCCAGTAATCCCGAGTGTTATACACCAGCGTCACAACCCTTCATAATTTACTTGAATATTCCAATACTGAGTTTGTAAAATCACTGTTCCAATCAAGTGAAGAGAGATAAAAACAAGTCATCGAAATATACATTATGCACCATATTGCAGTTTTCGCCGTAGCGTAACTGTGTTATTTTGGTACATCTCGTAGCCAGAAAATAAATGCGACAGCAGAAGCTATCGATTCGTGTGGTACTCCCAGTCAGAATCATGTGAGTAATTCTGCTTCATACAAGTGTAAGCTCATTTATAACAAGATGGCCACTTTAATTCCTACCCACATCGTGCATAAACATATACACAATTGCTGCTCCTTTCCTCCATACTGCGATTTGTACAGAGGAATTCTTATCTCATTAAAATGTCTGTTTCTAATCTAAATTTGCTATTCCCTGAAATCCAGTCTAGTTTCATAAATTGCTGTAAGAGTCTTCCTGTGGATTTGCTTCTTATTGTAACTCTTTCCACAGCTCTGTGTGTGCCTGTTGTAGCCCCCACCCCTGTCTCGTTGTTATTCTTCCACCTTGCTGTGATGATCTGTACGGAAAGGGGAGCATGCGTGTCACATCCAGATCAAATTTAATTTTTAGGCCAGTCGTTCTTTACAAAGTAATAAATAAAGCTTTGTGCTGAGTCCATGTCAGTCTGTCTGCAACCTAGTGCC